CACACACACACACACACACACACACACACACACCCTACACAACCCTACAGGGACCATCACTTTCTCTCCCAAAGCCACTTCCTGAATTGCTTCGGAATGGGCCCTGGGGGAGAGGGACTTGGGGACAGAGAGTAAAAAAAAGGATCCCTAGGATATTTGGCACTCACAACCCCAGGGTCATCGAATGCAACTCACCAGGGCAAGAAGATAGGGTGCTGCTAGCCGGAGCCTGAGGGCTGAAGTTTATAAGAGCGAAGAGAGGGGAGAGCCACTCCTTTGCCGAGGTGTCAAATTGCACTCTTGATTCAGAAGACAGGAGCCGCCCAATCCCGCCTCTCTGTGCCTGATTGCAGGGCCTGGAGCCCGCGGTCCAGCCCAGCCCTTTGCGCCCCCTTGAGGGCAGAAAGACTCCCAAGAATCCTGTCCCCCAGTAGTGAAGGCTACTGCCCTCCACACCCTCACAGCTAATTGGTTACTATTAGGGGGTAACTAATGGGGGGGGGGCAACTATTGATTGAAAAATAAAACATCTGAGAGAACTCAGCAGAGGTCCCACTGGGAAACTACATAAAGAACCCCACAAATCAAGACCCTCTGGGGACCTCATGCTGAGGGCCCTCCAACTGAGGGGAATCCAGTCTCATACCCTATAGAAGAACTCCCAGATTGAAATTCCTCCTGAGTTCTCAGACAGGAACCCCTTAGGGACACTCCCAAGACTAAATTACTCAGAAGGAGAAGCGCCAGGGTAGGACTTCCTGAGCCATCCCTCCCACTCCCCTGTCCAGTGGGCACAGCCTGCTTCAGGGCATCTCTGTCCCTCCCAGGACCTCTGTTCCCACCTCCTTCCTCTGCCACTGGTGCCCAGCAGGAGGGGGCGGCAACCAAGGCCAGGGAAGAGACACAGGGCAGCCTGTTCCAGCCCAGGAGACAGAGGGCGCCTGTGTCTGCTCCTGGCCCTTTGCCCCACCACCCGGTGTCTGTATGTGAAGGGGTGGAGCCGGTTGGGGGGTGGAGTAAGGGGGAAGGACTGCTAAAGACAGGTTTCCCCCACATTGCAAGAGCCATTGCAAGTTGCATCCTGCTTGCCTGCCTGCCTGTCTATCCAGAAGCTGCTTTCACTTCAGGTACAGGCCTACAGTGAGTATTCTGGCCCACTTGGGCAACTGGATCCCTGACCTGGCCAGCTTGGGGGAAAGGGGATTTCCAAGGGGCCTCAAGTGCCTGAGGATGATGGCGTTGCATGGCTCTGAGGGTCTGGTAGGAGTTAGTCAGGGTAAGGATAGTTTAGAATCTGGGGGAGTCCAGGGTTTGGATAGTGGTGAGGAGAGGCAAGTGAAGGTCAGAGGGAGAGCTGAAAGTCTAGTAAATGAACCTGCCATCCAGCTTCCAGGGCACTGGGCGGTTGTACAGAGAGACAGTTCCCCCCCCCCCCACCCCCCCAGTATCCCAGGAGTTAGGGAAGGGACACTGCCTGTGGGGTAAGAATAAGAGTAGAACAGCTGTTCTGTCCCCCTCCCTCCCCCCCTCCCCAGCCTCAGTCTCTGCCATCTCCACCCCCACCCCTGCCAAGACCCATGTCCCAGGGAAATCTGGGGGTGGCAGAGCATGGGCAATATGATATCAAAAAGAGGGGGGCCTAGGTCACTGTGCCCCCTTGCAACCCTACCTCTGCTCTCTCTTTCACAGCTGACTTCCACACCTCTCCCCCAATTCTTTCCTCTTTGTTTTCCCCCTGCCCCCAGGTCTTCCCAGAACTACCCCCATATAAAATCCTAGGCTGCTGGAGGGCTCTGGACAACCTCCAGGTGCCCCTCCTGGATGGGGCTGGTAATTGAGCCACCAGCATCCCTCCCGCAAGCACCTCCTTATCCCTTTGATCAGCCCAGCTTAGGTTCCATCTCCCCTATGTCTCTGTGACAACCACTTCTCATGTCCGGAGTTCAGGTGACATTCACAAGGGCCCCATTGAAAAGCTGGGATGTCATCTGATCAGAACCCATTGTCCAGCCCCCCAAATATGGGGAAGGATAGGGACATCTGATCTGGGACACCTGAGCTGCCGCCTGGGACTAGGGAGGGCCTAACTGTCCCAGAGCCAAAGGACAGAGGTCCCCTGGTGTGGCAGTATCTTCTCAACAGACTCCTCCATTCATCTGCTTTCTCCCAGCGCCTTGAACTCAAAGGACCTCATGCTTTCAGCACTTTATCTCCCACATGCCAGCCTTGTCTTCCTGCTTGCACTGTCCCTGTAGTTCCCACTGTCCCCATATCAACCAGGCAGCCTGGAGATGGGAGTGGGCAGCCACAGGGACAAGGCTTACAGATTTTCTCCCACTCCCCCCCCCATCCCCTCCTCAACTTTCCTGGGAGCTTTGTTTCTAAGAGAAAAAAAATGCACAGACATTCCTATCTCCCTCACTACCACCCACTTGCTGGAAGGGATAATTTTGCAAAGAGGAGGACTCTGACTGTAGGCAAATCTCAGAGAAGCCAAAACTGTTGAAAAGAAAAGGGGTCTGAAGGATCGGGAGGACCTCAGGCTATTTGATGGGAACCTCAGAGACTCCCCTTCCCAAAAATTCTTGGACCTGCCTCCTCCTCATTAGGCTCACCAAGAGTACCAGACTAACTCCTTGCTGGAGTGAACAGAATCAAGGCAGTAGAGACCCTGACCCACCACCCCCAATAGCAGAGCTTAGCTGTGCTCACCCTTGCAATGTCCAGGGTAAAAATAGAGTCAGAAAACACAGGCCTGGTCCTGTGACCATCCCTGCCTGCCCCACCCTCAGACTCTTCCCAGGCATCCAGAAGCCACTGCAGACCTACACTGTGGCCTCTGGAACCGACCCAGCTTTTGCTACTCACTCTCCCTGGCTGGGGTAAAGGACAGGACTGGGTTAACGTAGGCTGGGTCTCTCTCCATTGTAAAAATATCAGTGAAGGATAAAGCACAGTGCGGCAGCTGTCTCATAACTATTTGAGCTGTGACACCAGGACCAGGCCTGAGGTCTCCCCCTCATCTATACCTCAGACCCCCTGGGCCTGGTTCTCAGCTCATTTCTAATGGTGGGGTGTGGGTAGGTACTCTGCCACAATGGGCTCTGAGCTGGAGACTGCAATGGAGACCCTCATCAACGTGTTCCACTCCCACTCGGGCAAGGAAGGGGACAAGTACAAGCTGAGCAAGAAGGAACTAAAGGAATTGCTGCAAACGGAGCTCTCTGGCTTCCTGGATGTAAGCACAGAATGTGGGGTGGGGGAAGGTGGGCTCAGGATGGAAGGGGTTCAGCCCTGTCATTACCCTCTTCTCCAAACTTCTCACTTGGGTTCTTCCAGGCTCCCTACTCCTCCCAAACCAAGTCGAAATGCCCTCTTTTATTGATTACCTGTTAAATGCTAGGCCCTGTGCAGATTTGTCAGTAACAGGACTTAGTCTGGAAGAGAAAGGACTGCATCTTTGGAAGTAAAACATTAATTCCAGGAAGTAAACAGCTTTAACAGAGGTGCTAGAAAAGGCTGTGGTACATCAGTAGCCTGACTCAAGTGAGATGGCTTTTCCGAAGAAAACCCAGCTGATTCATGGGTTTCCACCAGAAGACTATGGAGTAAATTACGACATTTTAGAGGGTAATAGCTTGTACAAAAGCTTGTACAAAAAGTAGAGCTGCCCCGCACTGTCATTTTGAGAATGCAGAAAAATAGACTGCAAATGCTCATAGGGGGAACACAGTAAGAAGCTTCTATAGACAGTAGAAAGGGCAACTTTGAGGTTTTACTAGACTTCATTTAAATTCTTGTCTAGCTACTTTCTGGATGTGTGATTTGGGGGCACATTTATTTAACTACCATCACTTTGTTTCTTCTCTGGAATAAATGTCAAGGAAACATATATTATTTTCATTAGACTTAAACTAAACAAACCCTAGAGCTTGTGGCTTTCCACCATAATCCAAGCTTAGGAACCTGAGATCTGAGTTTGAGGTTCAAAGCCAGCCTAGGCAGGAAAGTATGTGAGTCACTTATCTCCAATTGGCCACCAAAAGCCGAGTAGAGCTGTGGCTCAAGTGGTAGTGTTAGCTTTGAGCAAAAATCTCGGGGTTAGCATCCATTCCTTTAGTTCAAGCTCCAGAACTGGCACACACAAAAATTATACTAAGCACGCACCGATGTCTCATGCCTATAATCCTAGCTACTCAAGAGGCTGAGCTCCGAGATCGTCATTCAAAGCCAGCCTGGCAGAAAGTCTGTGAGACTCTTATCTCCAATTAACCACCAGAAAACAGGAAGTGGGGCTGTAGCTCAAGTGGTAGAGCACTAGCCTTGAGCTGAAGAGCTGAGAGACAGCGCCCAGTCTCAGAGTTCAAGTCCCATGGCCGACCAAAAAAGAAAATTATATTAAACAATGTCTCTAAGGCTGTTAGTGAGTGTCACATGGTAGACAAACATACAGTAACTGTTATTAACTCAGGCCAGGTTTAGGAGTTGATTCTGTAGGCAACAGGAGCCCACCAGTTTTGAGGAGGGCTGCAGAAAGCTCCCAATAGTTAGATTCTGTTCTTCCTGCTTATTTCCACTTCAACTTTTCTCACCCACTTGACTCACCTCCTTCTCTCACCCCTCCCTCCTCAGGTGCAGAAGGATGCTGATGCTGTGGACAAGGTGATGAAGGAACTAGATGAGAATGGAGATGGGGAGGTAGACTTCCAGGAGTATGTGGTGCTGGTTGCTGCTCTCACCGTGGCTTGTAACAACTTCTTCTGGGAGAACAGCTGAGCTCACAGCCCTAGTGGGCAGCGCCCTTCCCCACCATCCTGGAAGTTCTGCCTTCTTACCCAGCTTTTCCCTCACTCTGCCTATGTCTCCTCACACTCCTATCCTTGCCCATCCTGCTCGCCACACACAAGGGCGCAAGAGTAGCAGTGTAGGCCTGCAATTCATTTCATTAAAGGCTTCTCTCTCACCAGCCATCAATGTCTGTCTCCTCTGGTGTCTGTAAGTGGGTAGAAGTGGGGGTTGCTCACTTCTAGCTCCTCTTATTTTGAAGCAAGTTCATGTGTATCTCCTATTTGAGGAATGTTCAATGCCTAGAAACGTAGGATCCAAGGTTCCACCTGGAAGTATAAGAGGTATCAATTTCAAATATAAAACCAGAACAACTTCTTTTCAACTTTCAACCATTACTAAGGCCCTCCTATGTGCTACATATTACACAGGAACTGGGGACACAGTAGTGAAAAAATAAATTCAATCCTTACACTTACCTGGGTCAAGTCCTTCAAGGGTGCTGGATCACTAAAAACATCCCTCCACCCCACCCCCAGGTCATATATGCATAAATGCCAGAAGAAAATGAAAAAATGCTGAATTGCCTATTGGACAGAAGAAGAGTCAACGATGTATTCATCCAGCAAACATCTGGGCACTTTGTTTTTCTTTGTGCTAATACTGGGGGTTGAATTCAGGGCCAGAGGCTGTCCCTTAGTTTTTTTGCTCAAGGCTGGAACTCTTAACAGTTGAACCACAGCTCCTCTTCCAGCTTTTTGCTGGTTAATTGAAGATGAATCTCAAAGACTTTCCTGCCCCCCGTTATCCTCAAACCGTGATCCTCAAATCACAGCTTCCTGAGTAGCAAGGATTACAAACATGAGCCACTAGCACCTGGCTCTGTGTACTTTATTATATAACCTGCCATAAGAAAAATCCCTTGTTAGCCAGACATGTGAAACCCACTTGTAATTCTAACACTCTGGAGACTGAAGCAGGAAAATCACAAGTTTAAAGCCAGCCTAGGCTACACAGTCAGAGCCTATCTAGAAAAGAGAAAGGGGAGGGGGAGAAAAATCTTTTTAGATATGCATCAAAATCTACAGGAATGGCAGGTGGGTAGGGAATTAATATATGGAAGGGGGACCAGGGAAAGACATGAAGGTTCTCCCTAAGGGTATCAAAGTCAAGGTGAGGTACCTATGAAGTTAAGAGGAATGTAAGGATGGCAGGAGTGGCTGGTGGAGGATCGGCTAGAGGTGTGCACCCAAACTAGCCTCCTGGGTCTTGGTCAGGGCATTTATGCCACTCACAACTCACAGCAGGTCAAACAGAGATGACAGCCCCAGAAGAAATCACCCAGGCCCGGGAATCAGGAAGAGACCCAGGCAATCCCGCACATTTTTTTGATCTTGGGGGCTAGGGGACGAGGTTATATAAACACTGCTTTCATTCTAAACGGAAGCTGTCTTCAGCAGTCCAGATTTCCCAGCTCCCGTGCAAGTAGCAGGCAGCGCAGCCTGGCCAGAAAGTTAAAGCCACCACAGTCCCAGACGGGAGCGCCCACGCCCCTCTTGGGCGGAGCAGAGGGCAACTCGGAAGACTCCACCTCCTCTTGCCGCGCAGGCGTAGCACGCATCCGGACCGCCCCTACTTGCGCGCGCACCCGACGCCTGACGTAAAGGCGTCGACGCCATTTTAGCCGGTCCCACTTCGCACTGGGCGTGGCGGCCATTTTGTTTTGGATACCGAGCAGGAGTTGGCGGCGGTGGCGGCAGGCGAAGTCAGGAAAGGGCAGGCCGGGCAAGCGGGCGATTCGGCCGTCTAGGGACCCAGCCCACAACGAACGAACCTCGAATTCGACTTCTTGCGCCTTTCACCGCCCAGCCTCGTGACCCCAAGCCCCTCCGCCGCGTTCGCTCAGCTTCGGCCGGTCCGCGGCCCGCCTGCCGCAGCCGTGGTGGCAGCCCCGGGAGCAGCGCTGGCGTCCGTTTCCTTCGGTGAGGAGGAGGGGCGAGGCCTGGCGGGGCGGCCGAGGCCGTCGGGCGCTGCGTGGGGGTGGGGGGTGAGGGACCCGGACGGAGCCGGGGTGGCGTGCAGGCCCCGGGAGGGGGCGGAGCCCCTGAGCGCCGGCGGGCCGGCGGGCGGGCGGGCCCGGCCTGGCAGGGCCGGCACGGAACGGAACCGGGGCCGGGGGAGGGGGGGGGGGGGAAGGGCGGAATCGCCGGCCATTGAGCGAAGTTGGGCGTCTTGACAGCCAGCGCCTTGAGGATGGTAGGGAGACTCTTTAAAAAAGAGGATTGCAGGAGTCAGAGGCGACTTTAGGGTTAAATTTTCTCCCCCTCCTCCTCCCTCCCTCCCCCCCCCCATACTCCCACGCGGGAATTGAGTTGTCGCTCGGGCTATCTATCCCAGCTCTTTTGCCCCTCAGGTAACTCCCTGTTAGCTAACCTTTAAAACAAAAACAAACTGTGAGACCGGGCCTTCCTAAGTTGCCCAGGCTGGTGTCGAACTTGTGCTCGATCTTCCTATCACAGGGTCCCAAGTATGATGAGATTATGAGCATAACCCCCTGGCGCCCGGGTTTTGGCAGACTTTTTTTTTTTTTGTCCTGTGGCCTTGAAGTTTTGAGGCAACCAACATAAAGCACTTGAAATGAGTTTGGTGTGATCTTGGGGTCTTCAATCTTACAGATCTTTTCACTCATTGTTGTTTTGGGCCTTGCCCCTTGTAGAAGTGAAATGGCCATTCTGATTTACTGGTCTGCCTGTTGTCCTTTACAGACTCTCGAGATTTGAAGATGGCTGCACAGTCAGCGCCGAAAGTTGTGCTAAAAAGCACCACCAAGATGTCTCTAAATGAGCGGTGAGGCAGCCAACAGCAACTTCAGCTCCTACCTAAGAAAACATTACCTAAATTGGCCCTGGGGTCCAATGCACCAAAACCAGTTGTAAGCTAAATACCAACAGAAGGCTACAGACTTCTGTTCTTAGTTGCATCTAATGTGGTACACAAAACAAATTGGGCAGTTGTTTCTAAACCCCTTATCAATAGATTTTTATGTTAAGCTGTCTGAAATATTTGCCTGGTGGGATGTATTTTAAAAAGACTCCTCACCCTCTCTTTTCTTCAAGTGTTTTTTTACATTGATACAGGGGTGGTGCAGCACGGTGGCATGGTATACCCTGGCTGCAGAAGGCTTGCTGCCCAGTCCGAGGCCAGCAGTGTTGTCTGGTCTGTAAGAGGCAGGTAGCAAGCCATGAAAATGTCCGAAGGCCCTGAATGATATTCCTGGGCCTTGTAAGAGGCACTTGGCTTCGCTTCATTTCACTTTCTTTCCATTCTGCTTTGTTTTGTTTTTTGATTCTTTTAACAGTTAAGTGTTCTTCTCTTTCATTCCATTAACTTAATCATGACAGGTATAGTAGAGGAATGTTTTCACAGACACTAAAATGATTGGACTAATCTAACTTTCTCAGGAGTACTGAGATAGGTGATTATTCGAGACTAAGAAAACTTGAGGTATTTAAAGCAGTTGCTATCTCTAAGAGCTTTGTTCATTCATTGCCTTTGTTTAGTGATTTTATCAAGTTAAAGTTGGAACACTCAGATATCTAGTGTCTATTTCTTTGCTTTTTCAAAGTATATGTGCTTATCTCTCTGGATGTGATGCACTATATTCACATTACTAAGTGGCACATATATTCTAAAATATAATACACTCCTATAATTTATACGGGTGTTTTTGCAGGCTTTGAAGGCGCTTCAGTTTTTCCTCATATTTGCCCTTAGAATGAACCCTTGAGTCCCCTAAGGTTTAGGCTTTCTTCGTTTGTCTTTGAAACTACATCTTCTGTCTCTTGTCATCATATCTGCTTATTGCGTGTTTTTCATACTTTCCACCTCTCTGAGAGCTGTTACCTAAGCCCTTGTTATCACTTGACTGTGCTGCACTTAGCTGCATTTCTAAGTTTCTGATTCTTGCAAGTTTGTGGAAACAGAGGAGTCTTTAACCCACATCAACCTTGATCTAAATGTACCACTTTACTTAAAAGTTCGTGGGATCTGGAGCTCCTGGTCTAGCAAGCCATGAAAATGCCAATAAATGTTTTGTAATAAAGCTTTTATTTAAACATCCATTTTGTTCGACCTTGAAGCTTTACTAATATGATGAAGAACAAACAGCCGATGCCAGTGAATATTCGGGCTTCGATGCAGCAACAACAGCAACTAGCCAGTGCCAGAAACAGAAGACTGGCCCAGCAGATGGAGAATAGACCCTCTGTCCAGGCAGCATTAAAACTTAAACAGGTGAGAGAATGGGTCTTAATGCCCTGACGCAGCTGGTGATCTTTGTCAGGCAGTCTACCAAGGCTGTCAGGACGTGATGGATCGTTACAAGGTAGCTCAGGTCAAAAGCTGAATCTTCTCTAAAGACAAAAATTCTGAGAATTTCAATTTTGGCAGGTACCAATAAGTAACTTATTATCTTGGCCATCTGTGTGGCTTGTTTGTGTTAACAGTGAATATCAATGTCTTGTTTCCTGGTCCTTTACCCTTAAAGCAGCATAAACCTTTTTTTCCTGCAAAAAAGAACTATTTGGGCTAGGGATATGGCTCCATAGTAAAGCGCTTGCCTAACGAGCATAAGGGCCTGGGTTTGATCCCCAACACCACCATTTAAAAAAAAAAACAACTGGGGGGGGGGGGATAATCTTTAAACTATCCCGTGCTCTATTAAATGACTTATAGAGTCTGGATGGCTTTAGTCAGAGGTTTTGGTACTTAAAAGAGAACAGTGATCCACAATTCCTAAAGTTTTATTGATTTAGTAGATTGAAAGTACCCAATTTCAAATTTCCAGTAAGAGATAATCCTGTGAGACCAGAAATTAAACTTGCTCTTTATTATTCATAGACTTTATATGCAAGTCTGGACAGTGGCTGTGGAAGGATATGTCCAAGCTGTGGCTGGGCGTCTGGAGGGCGATGCCATGCAACTGTAAGAACTATAACTGGTGGCACTGCATGGCTGTGCATAAATTCAGTAGTTAAATATAACCACCCTCACACTGAACCATTGGACTCACTGACCAAAAATAAACAAGGCTTTCTGTTTCAGCTACCTTAAGCCTTGGAATGATTGGATTTATTCCTGGTTCAGAAAAGCAGCAGGCAAAAGGCAACACTATTTTCCAGGAGTCCAAGAGTAAATGAAAATTGTTAAAGAAATCTCTGACAGGTCATGCCAAAGGATCTTGCAACAAGAAGCTTTTAAAAATATACGCTGTATAGAAAGTAGCTTCAGGAACAGCATTCTCCAGTAGCTGATGATGAAAATGCTCTATGTTAGCTGGCTAATACAATAGCCAGTATCCATGTGTTGCTGTTCAGGACTTCGAATGTGGCTGGAACAATTGAAGAACATAATTTTTAAGTTACTTCTAGGCTAGACATGGTGGTACATGCCTGTAATCCCAGCACTTGAGAGGCTGAGGCAGACGGATCAGATTTGATGCCAGCCTATGCTACATAGTTTGAAGTGATGTGGAAAATGGCAGTGAAACTCTTGTTTAAAAAGGTTGTGTAAAGCCAGGAGCCAGTGGCTCATGCCTGTAATCCTAGCTGGTCCAGAGGCTGAAAATTGAGGACTGTGGTTAAAAGCCAGAGAAAGCAAGAAAGTCAGTGAGGCTCTTTATCTCCAGTTAATCACCAGAAACTAGGGCTGGGAAGGTGGCTCAGTGGTAGAATGCTTGCCTTGCATGGATGAGGCCCTGGGTTTGATTCCTCAGCAACACATAAGCAGAAAAAGCTGGAAGTGGTACTGTGGCTCAAGCAGTAGAGTGCTAGCCTTGGGCTGAAGAGCTGAGGGGATAGCACCCAGGCCCACAGTTCATTCAGACCCTATGACCAACCAAAAATTAAAAAAAAAAAAAAAATTAAAAAAACCTGTGCTGCTAGTGTCTATAGTTGCTACCTTATTTGTATGGCACAGGTAGAATGAAAACTCTGTTACATCGTTGACATACTTAAGTGTCCTACCAGTGTTTCAGTTCAGTATTAGTAGTAACTAAAGATGTAGATGCTAAGCCGGGCACCAGTGGCTCACACCTATAATCCTAGATCTGAGCATCGCGTTCAAAGCCAGCCCAGGCAGGAAAGTCCATTAGACTCTTAACTCCAATAAACCACTAGAAAACCAGATGTGGCTCTGTAGCCCAAGAGGTAGAGCACTCGCCTTGAGCTGAAGAGCTGAGGGACTGGGCCTAGGCCGAGTTCAAGCCCCACGACCTCCTCCAAAAAAAAATGTAGATGGGAGAACTCAGCACTCTATAGTTCTTTCTTAAATCATAGATCTTAGGAGAAAAGGACAAACTAGGAATAGAGTAACTTCAGGAATGCAATTCTGACCTCAAAAGTGTGTGCTGGGGCTGCAAATGTAGCTTAGTGGTAAAGCGCTTGCCTAGCATGCATGAGGACATGTATTTAATTCATAGCACCACAAAGAAAAAATTGTGTGTGATAATTGGATGAGTAACAACAGACCTGTATGGTTGGTTGTACCTGCCCATGCTAGGTACATAATGTTCAGAGCCTCTCCTATCTGATTAGAAGCAATTTGTGATCTTGTGCTAGGAAGTTAATGTCTTATAGCATCTTTTTGAGGACTGTAATTGGTAAATAAATATGTGTAGGTACACAATTGTGTGTATGTATGTTTCTGTATAATATCTATTATTGGTTATCTACTTGTGGGTGCTGAGTACACAAAATTATCATTTCATATTAACTGATGGCTTATGGAAAAACAACTTACTAGGGCCTTGGTTATATTCAAGGCTGTCATCCCCTTGGAAGAAATTTATCAGAGATGTGATCCTCAGGGATTTCTCTCTGAGGAATAAATGAATTAAGAATCTTATCTGTATATGTCTTTGTTCTGATATGTGGCCCTTTGTGCTTATAGCTCACCCATCTTCATTCTACCATTAACTTGACTGGCACCTTGTAAAAATACATTTTGAGCTGTATGTTTGGGGTTTTGATTGATTGGTTGGTTTTTGTTTGTTTTTTCAGTACTATGTAAACTCAGGGCTAGGCTCTGCCATTTGAGCCACACCCTCAGCCCTAGAGTTATGTTTATAATTGTACTGGATTAAGGACACTGTTTCAAGGGTAGGCATGGAATTACAGATTTTTGAGAAATATAAGGAAAGGAAGTTTGACTTTTTGTGTTTATTTACATTAAGGTAAAAACTGGACCGTCTGGAGATAGCTAACTCGAAAATGGAACACACTGGCTTCTTGAGAAATCAATCTTGCTCTTAAGTCACAAGAATTCAAATGAACTTGTAATTTAAAATTTTGCCCCGATTGTGATGATCTTCCTATGGTGTTTGAGTAAGCCTTTGAAGACAGTGGTAGTCCTTGGGCAGGTATGAATTAAGTCATATCATTGTCAGCCTATGATTCAAAACATCATTTTCAACTGGCAGCATATGACTTCTGTAGCTAAATTAGTAAGGTAATCTGCAGTAATACTAATTTCATGGGCTAATAGAGTCTGTTCTGGATCGGAGTTTTGCTTTTATATACCATGTTCTGAAATAAAGGCTTGTGGTTTGGGATCCATAAGATACTCAAAAAAGCTGTATTTACCTCTACAGGCATTTCATTTGCTTCCTTCTCTCTACACTTTTAATTGCCAAATTACACTGAATTGCTTTTTGATCTCAATCCTTCAACACCCTTTCTTCCAGAAGAGCTTAAAGCAGCGCCTGGGTAAGAGTAACATCCAGGCACGTTTAGGCCGACCCATAGGGACCTTGGCCAGGGGAGCAATTGGAGGACGAGGCCTACCCATAATCCAGAGAGGCTTGCCAAGAGGAGGACTGCGTGGAGGACGTGCCACCAGAACCCTGCTTAGGGGCGGGATGTCGCTCCGAGGTTAGTGTTACATGTATTGAATGATTGTTAGGCCCTATCCCCTTCCCTTTTCTCTTGGGCTGCTTATGGGCATATTTGTTTAGCATCTTTAATCCTGAATTTATTACTGTAATTAATAACTTTTGAAATCACATTTTTAGTAGTGCTGCATGTGTTATCAATATCATTTCTGATAATGTGCAATGGTAAAGGCATAACAGGTAATTCATGTCATCTCCATTCCATTTTAAAACACCCTGCTGCTGCTTGAATCAAAGCACATTCAAGTTCTAGAAATAAGTGTTAAGAAATATATACTTAGCATGTGTGAGGCCCTGGGTTAAATTCTCAACACCAAAAAAAAAAAAAAAACAAGGGAGGAAGGAAGGAAGAAATTTGTTGGTCTTGTGGCCTATATCTTGATTAGTTATCTCTCTCTTTTTGGTGCTATAGCACTTACTATATCTTACTTTTTGGGCAGTGTTATACTGTTCCTTGTGTAGTTTTTGTTCACTACAAGAATGTTGAACATTTAAAAATCTAGCATAATGCTAGACGTCGGGTTATTCAGTTACTTAATAAATGTATGTACTTGGTTAAATCCCTGCTTCTTTCAAAGATAGGCTTGTGTTTAGAATTGTTGAATAAAGAGCAGCTTAACCTGTTCACACTCAGTGTGTAGCTTGCCCCACCCAGACTAAAAATTAACTGAATTACTCATTTATTTAACCCTCACCGCCTTCCTTTGGTTAGAGTCTATTTTGTCTCTCTTGGATTTACCTGCATATACATTGTATGCCTCCTCTCCAAGGTCAAAACCTGCTCCGAGGTGGACGAGCCGTAGCTCCCCGAATGGGCTTAAGAAGAGGTGGTGTTCGAGGTCGTGGAGGTCCTGGGAGAGGGGGCCTAGGGCGTGGAGCTATGGGTCGTGGCGGAATCGGTGGTAGAGGTTAGTCAGCTACCAACTTCAGAGAGTAGCTCCCCCTTATTTCCCTCCCTTAATAACTCAGAGCCACCTTTCTGCACAGCTTCAAGTCACAGGCAGGCTTCTTTGTTTGTCTTGTTTTGTTTTTCAAAACTGGCTTATTTCCTAAATCCACATCCTAGTAGTATAAAAGGTCTCATGATTTTTCTAAGAATCAGTCAAGTGTATTTATAGAGCCATATTTTAAGTTGCCTTTTTCCAGGCTTTTGGAAGAATTTAAATTACCTCATCAAAATGACAAAGTGTTTAAGTAGATTTTACTTCTTTCTATCTATGCTCTACTATACCACCTACCTACTCCACTGTTTAGAAACCTCAGTTTAAGTCAGGTAAAAAGCTAGGGCTGGGGATGTAGCTCAGTAATGTAGTATTGATCAAGAATGTACAAGGCCCTGATTTTGATCCCCAGCATTCTAAAGAGCAAGAATAGGGAAGAGGGAAATGTGCAAAGATGAAGCAGAATTTGAGAGTGTTAAGAGACGAGGGGTGTAGCTTAGTGAGAGAGTGTATGCTTACCAAGCATGAAACCCTGGGTTCAATTCCTGGTTTTCCAGGGAGTTGGAGAGTCAGGAGAAGACCTTGAATACTGGCTCTGAACCCAATAAATCATAAAATTTCTGTGAGGACCCAAAGATAGTACTTCTGATCAAGGTAGAACGTAAGGTGATATTATCAGTGAGCCACCTGGCTGCTACAGATAATCTTACCTCTGTGGCCTTGACATTTGCCTTGTGACTATAGCTCCAGTTTAGAAAAGTCTTGAATGGTGGTGGCAGTGCCAAATCTCATGGGAGCTTTCTGACTTAGAGCAGCACAAGGAGAAACTCCCAACAATACCTGTTCTGGATGAGGGAGACTATTCTTAGAGCACCTGAGATTTACTTTGATTCTTTTAAAATGTGTGAGTGGGTCTTCCATAACATTGAAAGGATATTCCATAAAGATTTATTTGTTTCTCTGCCATTATATAGTTGGCTTCTTGAGTAAAGTGCAAGCTAGCTTGGATTCCCGGATGCAAAAAAATGTTTCCAAATTATCTGGACTTAGTTTCTGAAAGTGACATCACAGGGTGGGAAAGACTAAAATAGCTTTTCAGAAAACATATTAAGTGAATTGAAACTATCTCTCAGATAACCACAATTGTCCTAATGCCTAGTGTCAGAATGACTGCTCACATTGTTCCTGTCAGAAATAATTCCTCAGTCTTTAGACACATAGAGTCAGTTCATTAGACTTTTTGAGGAGAGATAGATAACTTTCCCGAGGGTCTCCATTAAACCTTCATTTGAAAACTGCCCTTCTGTACTGCCTACCTGCCTTACTAAATGGGATTATTATCTATAATGTGATTTATGATTTATAGTGGGTCTCAGACTTTTGTAAAAACACTTCAATTTCTTTGTCTTAAGGCAGGCTAATGTTTTTTAAGTTATATGTCAATTGTTTTACCTTTTGGGGGGAGAAAAAAAAATTTGCAGGGCATGGGGTACAGGCCAGTAATCCAAGCACTTGAGAAGCTGAGGGAGGAGAACCAGGGTTAGCCTGAGCTAGATATTGAAACAAAAGCTTTCGAATAGTATTTAGTGATGAGCATGTGATAAGGGATTCATTATGTGTGCTTTCCATGTGTTGCTTTCTGCCCAGTGTGTTTCTTGTTTCTCCAGACTTTGCCCTACCCTTCAGCTTTTCTCAGCTAGGCCCCACTCCTCTAAGGGGCATTTGCTATAGCACCCATTAAACCTACTTGTAACTGTTGTCTTTTTTTTTTGTTTTTCCCCTTCCTTGGGCCAGGTCGGGGTATGGTAGGTCGGGGAAGAGGGGGCTTTGGAGGCCGAGGCCGAGGCCGTGGACGAGGAAGAGGTGCCCTTACCCGCCCTGTATTGACCAAGGAGCAGCTGGACAACCAGCTAGATGCATACATGTCAAAAACTAAAGGACATCTGGATGCTGAGTTGGATGCTTACATGGCTCAGACAGATCCAGAAACGAATGATTGAAGCCTGCCTGCTTACCCTTCTACAAGAGACTTGTTAAAGTCATCACATCTGTAAATAACTTTGAGAAAACAGAAGATGAAACCTGATGGATGCTGGAAGGACCTATAATAGGCTATGGACTTTTACCTGCCACCAGTTTGTGCGTTTTAGTGTGTTCATTTTACTTTTTGATACTGTGTTATATGAAACTATTTTTCTCTTGATTTGGTTATTTTTGGGTTGTGTGACTTTTGTGTTTTATTTTCCCATTCTCCCAGAATTCTCTTTAAACATGAATGTTTTGGCTTTATGGGCAGAACACTTTTCCTACCTCTGCCTTCCCTTACATGTCATAAGCTATGGCATTCTAACATTTCCTGTGTTCATCTATGTGCTCCCCTAAAAGTGTCCCAGAGAACCTTGATTTCTCAATAGAATTCTGTTCTGCATCCTCACTAATAGCTTCTTAAAAGTATTAAGAAAAATACGAAGCTTACAAATGCAGTCTGTGTCAGAAGTGTCAAGTAGTTGGAGACATTGACACAGAGCCACATTGTGGCAGCTTTGATTTGATGGAAATTGGTGCATTGGCACCACATAGATGGTAATGAGTGTGCTGGGTTGTATATGCACAGTTTTAAACCCCAAGTGAAAATTTTAACTTTTCCTCTTGGTTTTGTATCCTGCCCAAGAGGTTTGGGTTGTCTTGTACCCTCAGTATAGAGGAAAAAGTCATTTGGTTTGACAGATATGGCAGAAGGGAAAGGGACGGGAACGTGATGACAACTCTGGGAGAAGGGGTCGAGCTATACTGCTCCCATAGTGAAATGCAATTATCCTCACATGTTCCAAGCTTTTGTTGGACTTATCTACTTGGAATTGTTTTACCCTCTCCCTTGAAGGTTTAAGTTCAACCATAATTGTCAACTTTTCAGTTTCAACAGAATCTTGTATTTCTAGTTAATTATAACATTGTTCTCATTCAACCAGGATTTTCTCTTTCATTTGTCAGTTTCCTTAAATTGTGATAGCCATTTTTTAATGATGTCTTGATCTATCCTTTGTATGGTTGAGAGTCCTTCTTAGTTGTATTAAAATTGAGGAGGAGAAGAGAAAATGAAAATTTTGCTCTTTGATTAAATTTTGCAGGAAGATTGTTCATCCTTGAAAATAATAGGCCAACACGTTCAGCCTATGAGAAACTAAAGCCTGATGGCATTTGGACCCCAGCATTGTTTTCTTTCTGCTGCTTAAGAAAAAGCCCAGGAGCCGGGCGCTGGTGGCTCACGCCTGTAATCCTAGCTACTCAGGAGGCTGAGATCTGAGGATCGCGGTTCAAAGCCAGCCCGGGCAGGAGAGACCATGAGACTCCTATCTCCAATAAACCACCAGAAAACCGGAAGTGGCGCTGTAGCTCAAGTGGTAGAGCGCTCGCCTTGAGCTGAAGAGCTGAGGGACAGCGCCCAGGCCCAGAGTTCAAGCCCCACGGCCGACAAAGAAAAGAAAAAGCCCAGGGGCTGGGAAGGTGGCTCAGTGGTAGAGCGCTTGCCTTGCATGCCTGAGGCCCTGGATTCGATTCCTCAGCACCACATAAGCAAAAAGAAAAAAGCTGGAAGTGGCACTATGACTCAAGTGGTAGAACGCTAGCCTTGAGCTGAAGAGCTGAGGGACAGTGCCCAGGCCCAGAGTTCAGGCCCCACAACTGGACCCAAAAAAAAAAAAAACGGCTGGGAAGGTGGCTCAGTGGTAGAGTGCTTGCCTTGCATGCATGAGGCCCTGGGTTCCATTCCTCAGCACCACATAAGCAGAAAAATGCTGGAAGTGTGGCTGACACTCAAGTGGTAGAGTGCTAGCCTTGAGCTCAAGAGCTGAGGGACAGCGCCCAGGCCCAGAGTTCAGGCCCCACAACTAACCAAAAAGAAAAAAAGCCCATCCCCAGCCATGCCAGTTACCATTGGGCTGCCTAGAACCATAAACTGTAGGGAGTGGAAGGGATGGAGATGGGCAATAGGTAATAGCAGAGGACTGAGCTTGGACAATAAGCCCCATTTGACTTTTCTAGTGCTGGAGTGCAAGAATGGATTTTACCTCTCAACTGCTGTTTTCAATTCCAGCAAGGAACAGGCAGGATGGCTGGAATCTTTTTATGCTAAAAATAGTGATCAAGGGGTAGTCTCAGCAAAGGAATTGGCTGTAGTAACCCGGGCTGTCTTTTCCTATCTCGCTTGTGTGTCCCATCTCATGGGGGAAAAGAAATCCCAAACAAAGGAGCACAGAACCCTGGGTGCTGGTGGTTCATTTCTATAATCTGAGCTATTCAGGAGGCTGAGTAGGAGTAGTGGGGATCATGGTTTGAAGCCAGCCCAGGCAGGAAAATCATGAGACTCATCTCCAATGAACCACCAGAAAAACAGAAGTAGTGCTGTGGCTCAAGTGGTAGAGCGCTTGCCTTGAGCTGAAAAGCTGAGGGACAGCACCCAGGCACAGAGTTCAATCCTCACAACCAACAAAAGAAAAAAGCACATTGAGCCCAATAGCTGGTAGGGGAATTCCCTGTGCTCCTCTAGGAGAATCATGATCTCTGAACTTGGTATGAATTCTACCCATCCTCTCCTGGGGCTTGAACTTAGGGCGTGGATGCTGTCTCAGCTTTTTCACTCAAGCCTGGAACTCTACCACTTAAGGTACAGCTTTTTGATGATTAACTGGAGTCTCATGGTCTTTCCTGCCTGGACAAACTTCCAATCACAATTCTTAGATCTCAGCCTCCTGTATAACTAGGATTACAGGCACATGCCACCAGTACCTGGCTTCTAGCTTTATTTTCTAAGAGACAATTACTTTGAAGATGTAACTAAGAAAACTAGCTTGACTTGGGTTTCTTTCTTTTTTTTTGTCAGTCATGGGACCTGAACTGACTGGGCCTGGGCACTATCCCTCAGCTCTTCAGTTCAAGGCTAGTGCTCTACCACTTGAGCCACAGTGCCACTTCCAGCTTTGGAATGGAACCCAGGGCCTCATGCATGCAAGGCAAGCACTCTACCACTGAGCCACCTTCCCAGCCCCTAGTTGGGTTTCTTGTCCAAACACTGACCCATAAACTTCCAAGGCCCTTTCCCAGTTCAGGCCTCTTTTCCCTAATAGAGGCCTCAGAAGCTTGGATCCTTTTCTGCACTGACATCACTTTTATCCCCTGGGCTTCCTCTTGCCAAGGGCTAACAAGCAAGTTGCAGTTACCCCTAGCTACCCCTTTCATGTTAACTCGTCCCAAAATAAGTCCTGATCCTCTTGGGAGTTTTACCTTTAAATCACCAGAGAGAACAATGAAACCCAATGTTTTTTAAATGTACAAGACTAAGAATCACAGCTGGGTCTCAGCTCTGCTGACCACCATTCTCTGGTGATTAAATAACATCTACCTCCATTACTGAAGATTATGGTCCCCTTTATCTCTGTGGACCCTTTGGCTCATCCTCAGGGAGTATTTCAGCATCATTTTGTCCTACAAGTGCCAGGGATTTAGAAGCCACTGAAGCACATTAACACCTAAGAACACATACTCTGAATGAATGACCTAAGAAACCATCTCAGATGGAAGTGGCGCTGTAGCTCAAGTGGTAGAGCGCTCGCCTTGAGCTGAAGAGCTGAGGGACAGCGCCCAGGCCCAGAGTTCAGGCCCCACAACCGACAAAAAAAAAAAAAAAAGAAACCATCTCTGAGGGAAGAAAAAAACATGGCAACATAGAGTTTCAATATTTTTCACTATGAACATAGAACAAAATTTACTTTCACTGATTTTAAGTGTACAGTTCAGTGGCATTGAGTACATTAATACTGTGCACAATAATCACTATCTCCAAAGCTTTTTCATCTTTCCAATACTGGGACTTCATAATAAGCAAAACTCTATTCTCCTCTCCTGTTCAACCCAGCCTACATTTTCTCCAATGCTGAGACTCCAACGCAGGGCCCCACTCATTCTATTCAAGTGTCCCTACCACTGAGCTACACCCAACTCCTGCCGTACATTAGGCCTCTGTAAGTACATCTTACACATTCAAGCTTATTTCATATAGTGTCCCCCAATTTCATTAATGTTCTAGCCTGTATCAGAATTTCATTCTTAAATTCATTCCTTTTTTTTCTTTTTTTGGTCAGTCGTGGGCATGAACTCTGGGCCTGGGCACTGTCCCCCAGCTTCAGCTCAAGTCGAGTGCTCCCTCACTTGAGCTACAGCGCCACTTCCTGTTTTCTGGTGGTTAATTGGAGATGAGAGTCTCTCGGATTTTCCTACTTGGGCTGGCTTTGACCGTGATCTTCTGAAGCCTCCTGAGTAGCTAGGATTACAGGCGTAAACCACTGGTGCCAGGCAAAATCATTCCTTTTAAAGACTTGTAGTTATGTAGTTTGTTTACATATTTCCTGCCATTAAAAATACTCGGGGCTAGGAAGGTGGCTCAGTGGTAGAGTGTTTGCCTTGCATGCACTGGGTTCAATTCCTCAGCACCACATAAACAAAAAAAAGCTGCTAGTAGTGCTGTGGCTCAAGTGGTAGAGCACTTAGCTTGAGCTGAAGAGCTGAGGGACAGCATCCAGGATGCCACAGTTCAGGCCCCACAACCGACAAAAAATAAAATAAAAATAGTCTTTGGGGACTGGGACTGTGTCTTATGTAGAGTGCTTACCTAGCATTCATGAAGTCCTGGGTTCAGTTTCTCAGTACCACATAAACAGAAAGCCAGAAGTGGCCCTGTGGTTCAAATGGTAGAGCGCTAGCCTTGAGCAAAAGGAGCTCAGGGACAGTGCCCAGGCCCTAAATTCAAGCCCCAGGAATGGCAAAAATAAATACTCTTTGGAGGAGCCCAGCGTCTTGACTCACGCCTGTAATCCTAGTACTCAGACTGGGTAGGAAACTCTTTATCTCCAATTAACCACCAGAAAACCAGAAGCGGAACTGTGGCTCAAGTGGTAGAGAGTCAACCTTTTTCAAAAAGGCTCAGGCCCTGAGTTCAAGCTGGTGCACCCACACACACACACCCTCACACCCTGCCTTTCAAGGCCTCCAAAGAACTACAACTCCCAGAAAGCTCTACGTCCAGGCCCTTTCCGCTGCACTCTTGAAACTCCATTTCCCAACCATCCCAGTGTCTCAAGGATGCGTATTTCCCGAGCGCCCTCTCGCGGCGCACTTCGGTAGGCTGCAGTTCCCGGCGGCCTCCGCGGCAGGCTCTTGGCGGCTGGATAGTTCGCCATGGCGGGATCTGCCTCCGCCACTGTGTCCGGGGCAGGGACCCCGGTGGCGGGGCCCACAGGCCGCGACCTCTTTGCTGAGGGGCTTCTAGAGTTTCTACGGCCGGCTGTACAGCAACTTGACTCCCACGTCCACGCGGTCAGGTGCTCGGGAAGAAGGCTGGGGGCGGGGCCTCGCGAGCTAGCCGTGTAAGGGCGGGGCCGCAAAAGGCGGAGATCTAGTGAGTTCTAGTGGAGACTGAGGAATAAATGAGGGCTGGGGGCGTGGTTCAGGTGGTGGAGAGCCTGTCTGGTAATCGCTAGGCCCTCAGTTCAAACTTCAGTTCGCCAATACGCAAACTGCCTAAACGAAGAAAGGAGAATGGGTGGGGCTGCCAGCTGGGGCCTGTGAGGCCGACCCATCCCAGTACTTAGGTCAGCAAAACTAGTACCATTGTAAGCCTTTTTACCTCTTTGCAGAGAGAGCCAGGTAGAGCTCCGGGAACAAATTGATAATCTCGCTACAGGTAAGCGAGCATCCCTGTATACCAAAAATCCGCTAAATCGCTTTCACGACCTTTTTATTCTGCCAACCTCTGGGCTGTGTCTCTGTCACTTCCACAACGTCAGAGCTGCCAATACTCTTCGTGAAGGAAGGACAATTAAAGAAAGTGAAGGAAAGGTGTCTCTATCCCAAGAGGGCGCAAGTGCCTGTCATCCCATTATTGGCCTACTCTTGCTAAGAACAGGAGATGAGCCAGCAAATGTTTAGTCTGTGCCTTCTATCCCCAGAACTGTGCCGCATCAATGAGGATCAGAAAGTGGCCCTGGATCTCGACCCCTATGTTAAGAAGCTGCTTAATGCCAGACGACGTGTTGTCTTGGTCAACAACATTCTACAGAATGCCCAGGTAATGGCTCACATCTGTAACCCTAGCTTCTCAGGAGACTGAGAGGATTGCCAGTTCAAGGCCAGCCTAAGCAGAAAAGTTCAGAAGTACACATCTCTAAAATAATCAGCAAAAATACAAGGCTAGACGTATGGTCCAAGTGGTAGAGTGCTAGCCTTCCAAGCATGAGGCCCTTAGTTCAAACTCTATTGCCCACCAAAATAGAAATATCTGAAGAACTGTGATTCTTTGCTCTGCTTTATAACCAGTTTTTAAATCACCTCAAAAAATTCTTTGCAGTACTTGGGACTTGAATCTAGGACTTAATGCTTGCTAGGCAAGCATTCAATATTGGAAAAGAGGACTTAGTTGATAGATTCTCAATTCTCAATTTGCTGTCATTTTACATATTTACCTATGACATTCTTAGACAGACCAAATCCAAGATACTTCTCAGCATCTGGTTGACTAAATGTTAAAGCCATTCACAGCAGTTACTAGAATCAAAATCTTCCTGTCTTGTAGGAACGGCTGAGGCGGCTAAACCACAATGTTGCCAAGGAAACTGCCCGCAGGAGGGCAATGCTGGATTCAGGAGTTTATCCTCCTAGTTCCCCAAGCAAGTAACAGAAGGTGGGGCTGTGACCCAAGTAGCACAAGTACTGTTTCCCAGCTGCCTTGTTTCAAGACATGAAGAAGATTCCAGGAAACAATACCTATTGATCTTGAGATACCAGAAAGGCAATTCTGGTTTCTTTTGAAGTACTTATGTAGTGATCCTAAGAACCCTCTGTATAGTAGGACTCAGGATCTGAAAGGACTATATTAGTTCTTGCTTCCTTCCAAAAATGAATCTTTACGTTTTTAAGAAAGCTATTCACCTTTTTACATGCCTATAGTTAACCAGACTAGAGCGTCTTTTGTTAACATGCCTTGTTCCTTGGACTTGGGCAGCATATCCTTTACCTGTGATTTCTTTTGTTTAGTGAAGACAGTCAAGAGTCAAGGTAAATAACATAGGTCCACCTTCTGTTGATTGCACTGGCTTGAATATAGCAGTATTGTTAGGACCATTTAATTCAATAAATGTTTAAATATAGTATTCTAGTTTACTGATATGTGGAAGGGGTCCAAGAGTCTGTACTTATTTCAAGATTCTTTGGCTAGGCACCAGCAGCTCACTGGTACCCGCCTGTTAATCATAGCTACTTAGAAGGCTGAGATCTGAGGATCAGTTTGGAGGCAACTCAGGCACACAACCAAAGAGACTCGTCTCCAATTCTGAAGTATTGATTCAATTAGTAGGGTGCCAGCTCTTGAGCAAAAAAGAAAGCTCTTGAGCAAGAGCACAAGACCCCGAGTTCAAGCCCCAGTACAGGCACAAAAAAATATACTGTATCCCCACAACAAGAATACTAAGCTTTTGGCCTAGTCATTGTACAAGCTGTAAATGTTTGTTGGCAACTGAAGGGAATCTCTTTTGTAGCATATCAGAAATGAGTAACAGTTCATAGTAAACAAATACTCATAGTTTCCATAGGAAAATGTGACCTGCTACCTACCTCCTAGCTTTCCATATTGATGCATCTCTCAGCCTTCTATAAACATTGCAGAACTTCCAGTAATTAAAGGGTCTCCCAAATCCCTTAAGGCAGAAGTCTATATTTAATTCAGCTAGCTTGAGATTGTGTTCTTAATGTAAATAGTAAAAGACTAAGTATAATTCTCAAAGACTATAGAAAGACAAAGAAAAAAGTCATCACAAGACCAGAAGCCCTACTAGGAAGTACTTTAATCGTTTTTCTTAGAAAAAAATTCCACTTAACAGTTCACAACATTTCAACAACAAAGTACTAGTTGAGAGGTTTGGGGGAATTAGGATTCTAGAGCAGTAAGAAATGTTGGTAACCTGCTTTATTATGATGAGTGGCATGGGTCATAAATGGGAGATTTCTGGCTGCTAAGCCAGTATCAAAACAAAGGAATGACCTATCTTTCTGTACAGTTTATTTTCCTTCATGCCATCTCCCTATCCCATAGAAAAGCCACCACATAAAACCCAGTAGCAGGAAAGTTAGGCTCCAGTCTTCTTGAATTAGAAGAGTGTGAAGGGAAGGTCACTCCTGAGTCTCCATGCTTTCCTCTTCCTCCCCTTGAGGTGGTTCTTCTGTATTTTCCTCCTCTTCCTCACCTTCCTTCTTCTCTGGTGGCTTCTCATAAGCCTTTTCTGAAGGTGTCACTATCACTCCATCCCAAGTAGATATTTCAGAAGCAAGATCTAGGAGGCGAAAGAAGGTAGTATCAGACAAACAGCCCAACAAAGTATGATATACACAGTAGAAATCCTAAGACGTTTGAGGAGTAAGAACTGTCTGTAAACCAGAGTCCCCTAAGAAACCCCTAATCTACCCCACAGGAAGCACTCACAGCTGGCATCACCCTCCTGGCCAAGGATCTTCCTAAAACCACCATGTGAGAGGATTCGAACGAGAGTCTGAGCTGTATAGCAGACCATGTCCTAAAGAAGAGCAAAATGATAACTTGGCAAAGAGGATCAAAGTTGTATTTGACTAACAAAAGTGTGAAAACTGAGACTACTTTCAATCCCAGGTCCTTAAGTACTTCAGAATTCCAAGATTCTGATCCTCTTAAGACCAAGAGTATTTGAAAGTGGGGCAAAATGCACCATTTCATAGCTGTCATACCTGCTGTTCCAGGGTCATGACTGTGTGCACTCTGAAGTTGCCACTCTCACAGGGGTCAGTGATACCCACTGAACCTGGCAGGAACAGTCCTGCAGCCAGAATCTGCAAGCAACGCCTGAAACACAGAAAGGTATTTACAAAGTGCACAAAACAGCTAATAATCCAAATCTGAAGAAACTGGCTGTACCTGTATGCCACATTTAGGGCCAAAGGCTGCCTGGTGGGGTTATTCATCACAGCATAGTGCCCCTGGAAAAGAATTAAGTCTGGTAGGTATACAACCAAAATGGCAATTGTATATCTTCAAACAAACCATACAACCATTAAGGAAAATTAGCCATTAAGGTCTAGCCAAAATTTCCACAATTCTCCAGGAATCCTGAAATGGCTGCTCAGTCATCTATCATCACAGTAAAAAAGTTATAGCAGTGAAATTAATAGGTACTACCACTCAATTATTCATATAACAAACTCCTACTGAAGTAATAATTTTGAATTTTTTATTGGGTTATCTACCAAATTGCCTTTTGTCTTGGGGAGGAGGGAGTTGAGACAGAGTCTTGCTATAGCGTAGGCTGGCCTTGAATTAGGGTTTGTTGTATATTGTTTTTCTGATTCAGAGCCTTACTCTGTGTACTACAGGTTGGACTCAAAATTGTTAAGCTCCTGCGTGCTGATTTATGTCACCCAGAAGGCTGAGATCTGAGGACAGCAGTTGGATGCTAGCCTAGACAGGAAATTTCCAAAAAAGCCAGGAATGGACTGTGGCTCAAGTGATAAAGGGCTAGTCTTGAGCACAAAAGCTCAAGTATAGCATCCACGCCCTGAGTTCAAGCCCCAGGACAGGCACAAAAAAAATAAAAATCAAGCCTCCTGCTTTTTGCCTCCCAAGTGCTAATACTACAGATGTGCAGTACTACGCAACAGCTTCAAAGTTCTTTTTTCTGTTGGTAATGGGGCAGGAGCTTAAACTCAGGTCCTAGACACTGTCTAGGCTTTTCCACTCAAGGCCGGTGCTCTACCACTTGAGCCACTGCTCTACTTCCAGTTTTCTGCTGGTTAATTGAAGATTAAGAGTCTTACTCAATGGCTTAGTGGTAGAGTGCTTGCCTAGCATGCATGAAGCCCTGGGTTTGACCCCACAGTACCACATACACAGAAAAAGTCAGAAGTGGCAAAAAAAAAAAAAAGTCTCAGCCTTTGCTGCCACAGCTGACTTCAAAGAATGATCCTCAGAACACAGCCAGCCTCCTGAAGAAACAGGGCCACCAGCTTGGGCCACCAGCACCCAGCTCTAGGTTTCTTTTTTTTACTAGTTTTTTGACACAGGGTCTTCCCTGTACAGCCCAGTCCAGCCTCATACTTGAAATGCCCCTACATCAGAGTGTTAGGATTATAGACATGTTATCACCAATGCATGTCAGAATTGCTATTAAGCTTCTCCAACTTGAGGTAGGTTTCAGGGTAATTACTGTCAACAGGCTGAGAGGAACTCCAATTGTTCTTTACTTACAAGTAGGTCAAGAATCCAGGGTGTGAGGGGCTCAAAACCAGGAAAACGAATCCTTAAGTCCTTTAGCAGTCTGATGAGAACTTTAACTCTGAATAAAGGAGAGACACAAAAAATAAAAAGAATATCATGTATTTCCACATTGAGCCAGAGTTGAAACTATTTACAGAATTACACATCCTCTTTCAATCTTAATGTGAATCACAGCCAAAACAGTTCTTTCAGTGGAGTATGGGTGCATCCTGCAATTCACTTCAGTTACAAAGGTTATCTTTTTTTTTGTTCTTTGACACAGGGTCTTGTGTATCCTGGAACTCACTATGTAGCCCAGGATAGTCTCTATGACATCCTTCAGCTTCCATCTCTACAGTGCTAGAATTACAGGCATGTACTACCAAACCCATTCAAGAAGGTTTCCTTTTTCTTTCCTTTTCTTTTTTTTGGTGCCAGTATACCAGGGCTTGAACTAAGGGCCACATGTTCTTGCTCAGCTTTTCACACATAGCTGTTGTTATACCACTTGAGCCACGCCTCTAGTCCAGCATTTTGCTAGTTAATTGGAGATGGAGTCTCAGACTTCTGGTCAGGCTGACTTCGAACCTTGATCCTCTAGGTCTCAGCCTCCTAAGTAGCTAGGATTGCAGACATGAGCCACCAGCGCCAAGGCTCAGAAAGGTTTTCTTCATACCAGTGATCAGGGAGAGACTCACGTGGACTGAGAAGCATTTTCCTCAAACCAGCGGGCATGTCTGATGGCTGCTAAGGCACTCTGCAACACCTTGATATCCACTAGAAGACAAGTATGACAGGCCAAAATAAAACATTCCTATTAAGAAAGCAATTTAATGCCACAGTCCAAAAACTTGGAAAGAAGGTAGGCTAAGAGCAATTCTTTAAACCATCTAAAAATTGTCCAAAATTTGCTACTTCTCCTCCAAACAAATATAGAAGCATGCAAGATCCATTATCTTTTCCAAAAGCCTACAACATCCCCTTTAAATATTTCTGCAGTCCACCAGTTTCTTGGCCATTCTATCTTTGAAAATTTCAGGGCTGGGCGCTAGTGGCTCACGCCTGTAATCCTAACTACTCAGGAGGCTGAGATCTGAGGACTGAGGTTCGAAGCCAGCCCGAGCAATCCAGAAGACTATCTCCAATTAACTGCCAAAATGCCATACTGGAGGCATGACTCAAGTGGTAGAACAGAGTGAAGAGTCCAAGCAAGAATACAAAGCCCCAAGTTCAAGCCCAGTACTGGCACAAAAAAGAAAAGAAAATTTCACTAGGAAACTTGTAAATCTTCTAAATTACAGGGAATGAGCAAGTTAAGGGCAAATTTAAAATATTTAAATTTCCAAAAAGTTTCATGTGGAACAGCAAACAGCTAAAGTAAATGTAACAGGAAAAGTACTATGTTTTAAATTTTCCTCTTGTGAGCAGTGGAAAAAAGACTCACAATGGAGCTCTGGGTCCAGTTTTCGGAGATTGGGTGGCACTGTTGTTATGAGAATTTTCACTGTGGCATCAGAAGAACTGATTTCAAAGCCAGTTTCATTGGTCAGCATGGTCAAAACTGAAAGAAGAAAATAGCCAGCTTTTACCTCACATTTTCATTAAATCACCAGTTTTACTCCAGAGTAGGGGTAGAGAAAAACAGATTCTTTTTCCTGAAGGAAAGTCTCACTATATAAGTAGCTAATGTTCCTCCTGCCCCACTATACCTATTTTACAAGCAGGTTTTGATATTCTTTTATGTTGGGCTTTTAAAAAATGAGAACTGGTAATATAGCTAAATGTTAAATACTTGCCCAGCACATGTGAGGCCCTGGGTTTGATCCCCAGAAATATAAGAACTTCAGTAAGCATTTAATAGAATACAAAACTTTACAAAGGAAACCAAATTGCTAGGTACTGGTGGTTCAAATCTATAATCCTATCTACTCAGGAGGTTGAGATCTGAGGATAGCAGTTTGAAGCTAACCCAGGCAGGTAAGTCCATGAGACTCTTTATCTCCAATTAACCACCAGAAGTGAGGCTGAGCCTCAAAGTGGTAGAACACTAGCTTTGAGCACAAGAGCTCAGGGACAGCACCCCGGCCCCGAGTTCAAGACCTACAACCAACAACAACAACAAAAAGGAAACCAAGCCAATTCTGACCACTTGAAGCCTCTACAAAAAAACTGCATTTACTCTTCAATCTAGCCTGACTAGACTTTGTTCAAAGTACACGATGATACAACCCAGCTTCCACTGATACTGAACAGTTAACACAAACCTTCAGAAGGATCTTGTGCTCGTAGGCTTTCCACAACTTTATTTCCCAGGGCAGCAACAGCTTCCACTAGATAGAGAACATAGTGAAGGTTATAACAATCCATTTATGAAGAGACTTCTATGTATCTCTAAACTAAATACTCATTTCTGAAGTAAAGGCATGTAATAGAATAAATTATAAGGAAAGGACAAATCCTGGTCAGAGGTTCAAGAGACTGATAACCTCATGTCTTCTTTTTCTCTTTTTGCAGTACTAGGATTGAATTCAAGGCCTTTGCATATGCTAGGGCAAATTCTACCATTTGATCTATACACCCAGACCCTGACATTTCAAGTCAGTAACGTGAATTGGAGGCTGGATAATTCATTAGAGATGAGAGGTATCTTGTATACTGTAGGATATTTAGCAATATCTCTGACAGTGTTTGAAACTGGGTGCTGTCTCAACTTTTTTGCTCAAGGCTGACAATCTACCACTTGAGCCACAGCTCCATTTCTAGGTATTTGGTGGTAAATTAGAGATAAAAGTCTCATGAACTTTCCTGCCTAGGCTTCAATCTAGGATTCTTAGATCTCAGCCTCCCTCAGCTAGAGTTACAGGTATGAGCCACCAATACCAACCTATCCCTTGACTTCTATCACTTTTTTTTTTTTTTTTGGGGGGGGGCAGTTATGGGCCTTGAACTTAGGGCCTAGATACTGTCCCTGAGCTCTTTTGCTAGCACTCTACCACTTTGAGCTACAGTGCCACTTCCAGTTTGTGTGAGTGGTTAATTGGAGATAAGAGTCTCACGGGGACTTTTCTGCCCAGGCTGGCTTGGAACTGTGACCCTTAGATCTCAGCCTCCTAAGTAGCTAAGTTTACAGGTTATGAGCCACCGGCGCACAGCTTCTACGGCCTTTTCATGCCAGTAGCACCCCCTAGTTAAGACTTAACCAAAGATGTCTCAACACTGCCAAGTATCCTATGGGGAGCAAAATCACCTCCAGTTGAGAAACACAATCCACTACAGTACCTTAGGATATACATTCTTTAAAGTATACATTACAGAGTTTTTGTTCCTTATCACCTCAACACATTGTCTTTCAAACATACCTTTTCACAAAAGTCTGGGCTATATAAGTTTCTTAGACCTCAAACCCACTTGTGTCCCATTTAATGGTCAGAAAGATGGGCTGGGGAGTGGCAGAGTGCCTGCCTAACATGCACATAGCCCTGGGAGGGGGTGGGGGAAGGAGAGAAAAAAAGAAAGACATAGGAAGGAAAACTCACATGTTGGCAGAATCTTCAGTATTACCACTAAGTCAGCCACATTGTGTCCTGTAGTCATTGTTCCCTTTTTGTATGATCCTACCTGTCGGACTTCTTCAATTTGCTGTTGGAAACAGGATTCATTTCAGGAAAAGAATTAGAAGAACAAAAGTGTGTTATTTTTCTCAGAACTCTTATCAACACTGCTTTTAATTACTCAGATCTGGAAGTAGCAACAATGAAACAATCAAAAGCCTATTATAACAGTGATAAAGATTTTGTTCAGAATCTTACTATACTTTTGGACTTGGATTCCAATAAAAGATAACTGAAAAGTTATCAGAGGCCAAGAAAGCTTCCATATTACCAAGGATGCCCTTTCTTAGTACTGTATCATCAAAAAAACTCACCACTTCAAATGTCCCTGGAGCTACAATTAGATTGTCGATCACATTGTTTATCTTTGTCACCAGAGAAAGGATAGAGGCCTGAAAAAACACATGAAGCAAAGATAAAAAATTAAATGCAAGCCTGTAATCCTAGCTATTCAGGAGGCTGAGATCTGAGGATCACAGTTCAAAGCCAGCCTGGGAAGGAAAGTCTCCTTCCGTTAGACTCATCTCCAATAAACCACTAGAAAATCAGAAATGGCACTGTGGCTCAAGTGGTAGAGTGCCCACCTTGCACTGAAGAGTTGAGGGATAGCGCCCAAGCCAAGTTCTAGCTCCACAACCAACAAAAATAATAATAATTAAATGCAACTTCTCTAGAAGTTATACTAATTTAGGGCTTTGATAACAGTTCAACACTGCTGGTCTTGAATATATCAGAAGAAAACAACTATTTGACAGCATTACTAGATTCCCCTCCAAAAATATGAATTCATGAGCAAGGTGCCAGTGGTTCATACCTGTAATCCTACTACTTGGGCTGAGATCTGAAGATCATGGTTTGAAGCTAGCCTAGGCAGGAAAGTCTATAAGACTCTTATCTCCAACTAACCACCAAAAAGACAGAAATGGAGCTATGGATCAAGTGATAGAGCACTAATCCTGAGCAAAAAAGCTCAAGGACAGAACCCACACCTGAGTTCAAGCCCCAGGACTGGTACCAAAAAAGCAAAAACAAAAAAAAAGCATAATCTGTTCATACATTCATCTCCAGCTCTATCTCTACCTACAAAAAGGAAAACAAATGCCGAGTGGAGTTTAAGATCTGCCATTCTTGCTGGGGATCACAGCCAAGGCTCTGACATTCTAGACAAGCTCTCTAACACTGAAGTTCAGTAAAGATCAATAACCTCACTAATATTCACGGTTTACTTTCAGGCATCTCTTACTGATATACCAACTAACTAGTAGGCTCAAGACCCTGAGTTCACATCAGTACCACCAAAAAATTTTAAAAACTAGCCTGATGCCAGTGGTTCATGCCTGTAATCCTAGTTACTCAGGAGAGTGAAATCTGAGGATCATGGTCAGAAGCCAGCCTGGGCAGGAAAAGTCCCTAAGACTTTTATTTCACCACAACAGCCAGAACTGGAGCTTGCTCAAGTGGTAGAGCTCTAGCCTTGAGTAAAAAGCTCAGAGACAGTACCCAGGCCCTGAGCTCAAGCCCCAGGACCAGCATCAAAACAAACAAAAAAACCCAGAAACTTTCTTAGCATAATCTCAGACAGAAGCTAAAAAAAGATACCTGTTCAGCAGAATTGGGAGCAAGGTCCTGATTCCTCTTCAGCAAGGCTTCACTGAAGGAAGTTTCATCAGGTGCTGGCTTCACCCGAGGAAAGGCCATTTCACACTAAATAAGAAATACTATTTACCAAAATAATATACAGGAGATTTTTTTTTTTCCTGCTACAACTGAAGAAAATTTAAAACAGAAAACTCTACAGTAGCCAGGCGCCAGTGGCTCACGCTTGTAATCCTAGCTACTTTGGAGGCTGAGATCTAAGGATCTGGGTTCAAAGCCAGCCTGGGCAGGAAAGTCTGTGAGACTCTTATCTCCAATAAACCACTAGAAAACCGGAAGTGGCGCTGTGGCACAAGTGGTACAGCACTCACCTTGAGCTGAAGAGCACAGGGGCAGCGCCCAAGCCCAGAGTTCAAGCCCCACGACCAACAAAAAAAAAGAAAACTCTAGAGTAGCTGGTTTTATACCTTAAGATGTTCAACAAGGCTGGGCACTGGTGGCTTACACCTGTAATCCTAGCTACTCAGGAGCCTGAGATCTGAGGATAATGGTTCAAACCAAGTTCAGACAGGAAAGTCTATGACTCTTATCTCCAATAAACGACTCTGAAAACCAGACTTGGTGCTGTGGCTCAAGTGGTAGAGCACTAGCCTTGAGCTGAAGAGCTGAGGGACAGCACCCAGGCCCAGAGAGTTCAAGCCTCACAACCACACACACACACACACACACACACACAATGTTCAACAAGGATACAAGCTACAAGAAGAATCATAATTAAAGCTCTCATTACCTTTACATGAAAAGGTAGGCAGAGATACAACTAATTGTCGAGAACAAAGATTACAAATCATGTAGCCAAGGAATTATGTCTTCTACCCTGCCTACATTATTTTCACATATAATGCAACACAGTTCATTCACAATAACTCTTTGGAAGGTGGGTGGACAAAGAAAGCTTGAATTTGATCAGATGGATACATGCTTGTGTGTGTGTGTGTATATTCACTGAACCCCAATGTGTATACAATATATGTTAAAGATAAAATTAGAATTAGGAGCTGGAAGTGTACCTTAGTGGTAGAGCACGTGCTTAGCATGCTCAAAGCACTCATGCAATCCTCAGCACCAAAACTAGACAACAACAAAAAATTTAAACCCTAATTCCATTCACAAATCCCTTTTCCAACTCCAACTACCCTTTGACTTGATAAAGCGGTCATCACTAGATAAACAGTGGCCAGTGAATTCATACATACTAACCCAAGGTACTCACCAAATAGAAATCAAATGGGATATGTGGCACAAAGGGCCTGAACCTAAAATATAAAAAAGTCAAAATTATTCACCAGACATCAAGTGAGCTGTATACAATGCACCAGCAACTTTGGAAACATGTCTGTCTTCAGAATAAAGTACTACTCTATTTTCATAGCAAAGGGAGTCTAATTTAGCAGGAGATAAATTTAGCTGATAAATGTTTCTAAATCATACTTGGATTCACAAAGTCAAGTAACATAGGCCACTCCCAATGTTCTCAGACTGAAACTAACCAGTACAAGATGCAAAGAAAGGAAAGGAAAGGGGGGGAGGGGAGAGAGAGGGAGGGAGGGAGAGAGAGAGAGAGGGAGGGAGGGAGAGAGAGAGAGAGAAGCACTCACCCGCCTCCTGGGCCTCCTCGGGAACCAAAGCGCCCGCCACGACCCCGGCCTCTGTCACCCCTAGAAACGCAAAGATTTTATTTTGACCTGAGGAAAGTAATCGCCACCATACCTGGCATAACATTTCAAGTTGGCTAACCACCATCACTCTTAACTTCTCTACTGGAGAGGGGACGCCACTGCTCAGATCTCCCACTCCAAGCTGGGCCAGATCCTCTCCCAGGACATCCTAATTCAGGATTTATTCGCAAACTCACCAAGTAGTGACTGGGTTCAGAGAGAGGCCACCCAAGAAGTAACCGATACCCCTGAGCACACCAATCCTACCGCTCAGAGACTAAAGAACTTCCTTCCCATTTATACACTAACGCGGTGTAACTTTTTTTTTATCTCGCCAACATCAAGCAGGGGAAGAATGCGCCATGTTCTGGCCTTCTCAGTCTCAAAGGGTGCTCCTCAGGATGCCCCCTCATCCCAACTCCGCAGACCCAGGAGTCGAACCCGCCCCGCCTCCTCACGGCTGGGCCCCAACCCGTCCCAGGCCGGTGCCCCGCCAGCGCCGGCCTCCCAACTACAGGCCAGAAGTTTCCAGGTTTGGGGCCAGCCGCTAGATCCTCAGTCCTCGGCCTTACGATTCCTTTCCATTTTTGGAGACGCCTCCGGCGCACCTCAGTCCACTTACCTCATGGCGCCCTCACTCCTGAACAATGGAGACCGTACCAACCGCCTCTTTCTTAGCAGGACCAGACTACTGGAGAGGCGACTTGCCGGCGTGTCCCAACAAAACCCGGCGCGATTGGCTCCCACCTTGAGCCAATAAAAACGCCTACTGTGTCAGAAACCGGCCAATAACAGCACGGCAGCGGGTTTAACCGTAATGACGTAAATTGTTCGACCAGTTACTAGATGGCGCTTGGTTATAAGGTCAGAACCACCACCGTGTTGAGAACCTTCTATAGGAATCACAAAGAAGAAAGCGCCTGGGTAGCAGAGTGGCGCAGCGGGAGCGTGCTGGGCCCATAACCCAGAGGTCGATGGATCGAAACCATCCTCTGCTAGCGTACGTCTTTTCTTCCTTTCCCATTTTCAGATTAAATGTGAACAATTTACACTTCTCCAGTGAATACTAATTTTCTTTCCACCCTTCTGAACTGCAGCCTTGGTACGTACATATGCGTAAACGTGTTAATGCGTGGATATGTAAGTAGAATATGACTAGCTACTGAACTGTTTAGAGAGATGAGAGGGAGCAGAAAAAAAAAAGAGGGAAAAAGAATGGATGGTGCATAATTCAGAAATACATGAAGATGGAATAAGGAATTTCAGTGAAAGTTGATGATAAATAGAGAGTTGGGAGCAGGTAAATTGAAAGCAGTATTTTTTCGGGTTAAAATGTAATATAATTACATCTGAAATGCCATGGTGAGCCCCCTCGGTGAAATTAATGCATACTAAAAAATGAGTTACAGGAAAGTAATACAAGCACTATTGAGGGTACCAGCGGGAATGGAGCGGGTAAGAATGTGGCAGAAGAGGGGAAAGAAGAAAGGGAGATGGAGGGGGTGAGTTTGAAGCCGATGCATTGCATACATGTGAGGAAAGTCCTGTGAAACTCTCCCTCGCATAACTAATGTAAGCAATCGTGGGATGGAGGCATGGCTCCAGCAGTAGAACACCTTCCTAGTAAACTCCAAACCTTAAGCTCGAACCCCAATACAGAAAAGGAGGGGGAGGGGGAGAGGAGGAGGAAGGAGAGGAGGAGGCTCCAGCCTGTAATCCCATTTACTCTGGAAACTGAGATCTTTGGGTTAAAGTTTGAAGACAACCTACGCAGACAAATCTATGAGACTCCATCTCTAACCAGCAAAAATGCCAGACTGGAGGTGGGGCTCAAGTGGTAGAACGCCAGCCTTGAAGGGAGAAAGCCGAATTGGCACCAAAGTGGGGGGGGAGGGGGAGGGAAGAAGGAGAGGGAAAGGGAGAGGAGGAGAGGAGAGAGAGAGGGAAAGAGAGAGAGAGAGAGAGAGGGAAAGAGAGAATCTTCTTCCCTCTGACACCTTCAACAGCTAAATGTTGATAAAATAATAAACTGGGATAGACTCTATCTGCATTTACTTTGTATTATTATTGTTGTTGTTGTTATTGTTATTATTTTGGCCACTGTGGGGCTCGAACTCAAAGGCCTAGGCTATGCTGTCCCTGAATTTTTTCACTCAAAGCTAGTACTCTGCCACTTTGAGCCACAGGACCACTTCCAGTTTTCTGGTGGTTAATTGGAGATAAGTATCACAAACTTCCATGCCCAGGCTAGCTTTGAACCGTGGTCCTCAGGTCTCAGCCTCCTGAGTAGCTAGGATCGCAGGTGTGAGCCATCCACCTGGCATCCTGGGTTGTATCTGCATTTAAATGCATCACATTACTTTCCCTTTTCTTCCTCCTTCTTATCCTCTTTTGCACTGATTAATATTTATTACTCCACCCTATTTCTGTTAACTGAAAGTTACTGTACTCTTTCTCTTTTAGTTGTTACTCTAAAAATTACAATATACATCCTTCCCTTAATAATTTTAGTTGAGACAGGATCTCATTATTGAGTCAGGCTTCCTAGTCCTAGGATTATATGAATGACATGCCATGCCCAGTAAGCTAATCTGATTTTTACTCTCCTTGTGAAAAGTACAGGAATAATTTAATGCCATTTACTGATATTGCTCCCTCTTCAAAATTATACGGTATTGCTGTGATACTTGTACTTTGTTGATGTATAACTTGCTAATGAAGAAAGCATAGATCTTAATTGTGAATGCACTTACGCTTTATCACCACCCAGGTTAAAATACTTGACTCTGTGTGTGTGTGTGTGTGTGTGTGTGTGTGTGTGTGTGTGTGTGTGTGTGTGTGTTTTGCTTGGGGTTTGAATTCAGAGCCTTGAGTTTGCTAGGCAAGCACTCTACTGTTTTGAATCATTGGAGTCAGGCTGCTAGTAAAATAAAAATATTTTTATTACCTCAAAATCTTGGCTCATGGGGCTGGTAAGGTGGCTCAGTGGTAGAGCACTTGCCTTGCATGCCTGAGGCCCTGGGTTTGATTCTTCAGCACCACATAAGCAAAAAGAAAAAAAAAGCCGGAAGTGGCGCTGTGGCTCACGTGGTAGAGTGTTAGCCTTGAGCTGAAGAGCTGAGGGATAGCGCCCAGGCCCAGAGTTGAGGTCCCACGACCGGACCCAAAAAAAAAAAATCTTGGCTCATGCCTGGCATGAGCCAACCTATATTAGCTACTCTCAAGAGGCTGAGATCTATCCTAGCTACTCAGGAGGCTGAGATCTAAGGATACAGTTCAAAGCCAGCCTAAGCAGGAAAATCTGAGATGTTCTTATCTCCAATAAAGTATTCTGAAAAAAATCTAGAAGTAGTGCTATGGCCCAAGCTGTAGAGTGCTAGAGTGCTAGCCTTGAGCAAAAGAAGCTCAAGGACAGCACCCAGGCCCGGAGTTCAAGCCCCAGTACTGGCAAAAAAAAAAAAAAAGAGGCTGAGATCTGAGTGTCCTGGTTCAAAACCAGCCTGGGCAGGAAAGAGAAAAGTCCTTGAGATTCTTATCTCCAATTAACCACAACAACTATACAGTAAGTGGCACTGTGGCTCAAAGTGGTAGACCACTAGCCTTGAGAGAAAGTGCTCAGGGACAGTGCCCAGGCCCTGAATTCAAGTCTAACAACTGACAAAAACAAAAACAAAAACTGGCTCATAGGGCTGGGAAGGTGGCTCAGTGGTAGAGTGCTTCCCTTGCATGCATGAGGCCCTGGGCTCAATTCCTCAACACCACATAAACAGAAAAAGCCAGAAGTGGTGCTGTGGCTCAAGTGGTAGAGTGCTAGCCTTGAGATAGGTGAGGGACAGCCCAGGCCCAGAATTCAGGCCTCACGACCGACAAAAAAAAAAAAATAAACGGCTCATAAAAGCTAAAGGATAGCACTCAGGCCCTGAATTCAAGCCCTAGTACCAGTTCACGTGCGTGCAAGTAGACATGCGCGCATAGACACATATACACAAAATTGTTCATATTCCTTTGCAACAACTATTCTGGTTTCTATTATCACATGCTAGTTTTGAGTTTCACATAGATTATATGGGATATTTTCTCTCTTGCTTTCTTTCTCTGCCTCATCCAGGGGTTGAACTCAGAACTCAGGGTCTGATCACTTCTGAGCTTTTTTGCTCAAGGCTAGCAATCTACCACATGAGCCATGGCCCCACTTCTGGCTTTCTGGTGGCAAATTGGAGTCTCACAGACTTTCCTGCATAGGCTTGCTTTTTTTTAAAATTTTTTATTTTTTTTATTGTGAAAATACTGTACAAAGGGGTTACAATTACACAGGCAAGATAATGAGTACATTTCTTTTTTCTTTTTTTTGGGTCCGGTCATGGGGCCTGAACTCTGGCGTGGGCACTGTCCCTCAGCTCTTCAGCTCAAGGCTAGTGTTCTACCACTTGAACCACAGCTCAAGGCTAGTGTTCTACCACTTGAACCACAGCGCCACTTCCCGCTTTTTTTCCTTTTTGCTTATGTGGTGCTGAGGAATCGAACCTAGGGCCTCATGCATGCAAGGCAAGCACTCTACCACTGAGCCACCTTCCCAGTCCCACTGAGTACATTTCTTATCAAGCATTGTAGCCTCCTCCTTTGTTTCCCCTTCCCATCCCTTCCCATTCTCCCCCCCACCCAATCCTCCCTGCCCCACAGGCTGGCTTTGAGCCACCATCCTCAGATCTCAGCCTCCTGAGTAGCTAGTATCACAGGTGTGAGCCACCGGTGCCCAATTGGATGTTTTCATTTTTGTCTAGCTTCTTTCACTTGTCCATTTTGAGATTCTTCCTTGTTTTGGAACTCATAAACAAAGTTGCTGTTGTTTTGCTTGTTTTTTTGTCAGTCATGGGGATTGAATTCAGCCTGGGTGCTGTCCCTGAGCTTTTCAGCTCGAAGCTAGCACTCTACCACTTGAGCCACAGTGCCACTTCCAGTTTTCTGGTGGTTAATTGGAGATAAGAGTCTCAGGGACTTTCTTGCCTGGGCTGGCTTTGAACCATGATTTTCAGATCTCAGCCTCCTTAGTGATTACAGGCGTGAGTCACCAGTGCCAGGCAAGAATCTGTTCTTTTTTATAATGGCTTTCCATTATGTAAATACATCACTTTGTTTATTCATTTTCCTGTTGATGAATTCAGTATGTACCACTTGCTGAAGCACAGGCATACACACCAGGGTTTTCCAGTTTAGGGCCATTTATTTATTTATTTAGCCAGTCCTGGGGCTTGAACTCAGGGCCTGGGCACTATCCCTGAGCATCTTTTGCTCATTCTACCACTTGAGCCACAGCACCACTTCCAGATTTTTCTGTTTATGTGGTACTAAGGAATTGAACCCAGGCCTTCATGCCTGTTAGGCAAGCACTCTACCTCTAAGCCACATTCAGCCCATACGGCATTTTTTGGGGGTCCAGTTGTGGGGCCTGAACTCAGCTCTCTGGGTGCTGTCCCTCAGCTCTTCAGCTCAAGGCTAGCGCTCTACCACTTGAGCCACAGCGCCATTTCCGACTTTTTTCTTTTTGCTTATGTGGTGCTAAGGAATCGAACCTAGGGCCTCAGGCATACAAGGCAAGCGCTCTACCACTGAGCCACCTTCCCAGCCCCGCCCATACAGCATTTTTAAATAAAGCTATTTTGAACATTTTTGTAGTTTGTGACCAGATGCATTTACTTCTCTTCGGTAGGCAAAGGTATATAT